AAAAATTAATTAATACAAAGTATAATTTACTTTTTTTTAATATCTCTCGCTAGTATTTATCTTATATATATTTTAATAGTCTCTATCAGTATTTTTTTATCCTCCACCTGTCTTTATTTTTAGAAAGATCTTTTGTGTCTGCAGTCAATTTTACAAAAAATAATATCTAACGTCATAAAAAACATGTGTTGTTTATGACTTCCGTTGGTTTTTAATTTGTTTTAAAATAATTTTAAAAAGTGTTTATCCAAAACATTGTGCATAATATTGTTTAATAATGTTAGCAAAAGACAAAATTATGATAATGAGATCTTAATAATATTAGACTGGTTTTAGCTATTATTGTTGATGATTTTTGGATAAACATATTTAGCGTCTATTATTTTTATCATTATTATTATTATTGTGCATTATATTTATTACGTTTTAATGCAGTTTTCCATTTATATGCACTATGTTTTCTTCTTTTTTATTAATTGTAGTAGTAGTGGCCTGGTACGAAAGAAATTCCGTCCTTATCGGTGGCCTTTGTACGGTAAATGTTATTAGATTAAAAAGACAGAAAGTATGTATTTTATCTACTACATTGTTTATTGTACCCGATTGCTTTTACTACGGAAAATCGACATTCCACTTCCTTGTAATTATTAAACAAAGTATAAATATATTATATTAAAAGTTGAGCTTTCATATGTTTATCTTGTAGTGAATACCATGATCAAACTAAACCTTCGCTTATAGAAACATATGCCTACTGCCTTTAAAAATCAATATTTCGCAGTTGTTACGTCTTGGTACTTCCCCAGTTACATTATTTGAAAAAATGTTGGTTTATTATTCGTGTATTTTCTTTGTATTGATATACAGTTCGTCGTTAATGGTATTTCAAAATTCCAAGCGCAAGGTGCATATGAAGCACAACATTCGTTAACGTGAACAAGTCTAATTAGTTCAACACATTGAACGAAAATCAATTTTTTAACTCTTGTTTTTATTATAACCGTAGTAACACAACAACATATTAAATCAATAATTAAGAAATGGCGAATGTAATTTGTTTAGGTCCAACAGGATCTGGCAAAACTTTGCTAATTAAAAAATTGCAAAACGTGGATGCAGTTGATGAAACGAGCACTTCGGTGCCTACGGTGGGGAGTAACTTATTCTCCATTCACTACAACAACGTTGTTATTAATATCAGAGAACTGGGTGGAGAAGTAGCCCCATTGTGGCCGAAATATTATGACGGAATAAAAAAAGTTATTTTTGTAGTGGACGCTTCAAATTTATGCCAGATATCAGCAGCTGGAGTTTTATTTTATTCCGTCTTAGCAGATCCCCGATTCAAAAATGCGAAGGTAATACATTTTACAAAAGTTGTAAAGTTTAATGTCATGTATCAATCCTGAATATCTCAATTTGAAGGTGCTACTTGTTTTAACAAAAATGGACGTAAGTTATAGACAAATGCGAAACGAAGCATTGTTAATATTGCAAATGAAGAGACTCCAAACAGAAGTACCCCAAACTATTACCATTATTGAAAGTAGTGCCATTACTGGAGAGGGCCGAGATGAAATATTAGAGTGGTTAATAAAAAAATAGAAATACTTTATTTATGTTATTTATTACTGCTTGTTATCATAAAATAAATCCTATATGTAGTGTAAACGTATAAATTATTTAAAGCTTTCACTAACAAATAAAAAAAATTAACAAATGATGATTGTAACACTTTATGTAGTATTTCAAGTGCAATTTTATACTTGGTTGAGTTTTAATCAAAAAGTAGATTGAGAAAGTATTAGTTGCTTATAATTCATTCGAGAATGACCATATCCAAATTGTGGCATTACAATTTCATTCCCTCGATATATAAAGCAAATATATTTCGCTTTTTCGTTAGTACGACAAACGTTATAATACTATATTTATACGATCTGGATAGAAAAAAAATTAATGATATGGCCAGAAAGAAGGTATGTTTTATGATTATCCCAATATTTTGATTTAAATACTATTATTATTAAATTAATATCTTTTTACGGGTGTATGTAGCTTTAAATTGTGTTGTTTATTGAAGTTTATAAGTAAGTATGAAACATAATTAACCCAGTTTAAAGTGAATAACGAAAAGTATAATTAAAAAAACTTTTTAATGTACAGTTACTTTCAAAAAATGTGCAATTTTTAATTTACATTTTATGCACACATAAAACGCATTTATAATCACCAGAAAATTAAAACTGTGTATCTACATTTTCAGTTAAGTTTAACTACCCTTCTTCTATTCTCAATAATTTTAATTAACTCGGTAACATCCAAATCGACAAATAATTACGAAGAAACTTCTGACAACTATTCAGGTGAGACAAATGGTTAATATTTTTAATAACATTTATTAATTGCATTTATATTTTTAGATCAGAATCGTGGTAGAGTACAAATTAAAGTTTATAGAGGACCAAATAATGAAAAATTTGCCCCCTGGGGATTTTGGGTTAAACAGCCAGCCNAAATAATATTTATTATTGCGTTAACTATTTCTATAAAGATAATTATGCTTTGTTCCAACTATTTTTTTTTTGGGGTAACTGTACATAAAAATTGTTTTGAAAAAGTTGAAGTCTAGTGATGCAACTATAATAATAAAATTGTTTAGTCTTTCGTTATATAAATAATTGTGTAATAAAAGTTTGATTTTCATACAAAAGAAGTAATTATCATTTATTCACTATTGTGATAAGTTATAAGCGAAATTAGCACAAAGTGACGGTTACAATTTCAACTGGTAATAAACTTATGATAACAAAATTTCGACCAATCGCGTAGCTAGTTAGTAGGACCTGCGCTGTAATTCAATTTAAATTTCTACAAAAAACATACCATCCAAACATTTATTACTAAAGAGTAATACCTAAATTATCCGCGGTTTAATTTTTCGCGATGTTTATGAATGATGTGAACAAAAAAGAAGAAATTCGAAATGCTGTGATAGAAGAATTGCGCTCTTTTGGAATTAAATATCGACCAAAAAAATCTAGACAGAATGTACAGGTTAGTTTGTTAAAAAAATCAAAAGGAAATTTTCAAATAATATACGCTTTAATTAATGTGCAGGAACAAAGAAGAGGAAACCGAGTTTTCGGTATTTCATTGCATTTATTGCCCATGCAAACAGTAACCTTAGAGAGTGGACAACAGCTAACTGTTCCAAAACTACTTCATAAATTGTGTTCTTATACTCTGACCATGATCGAAACAGAAGGTTTATTTCGAAAGGAAGGATCAAAAGCTAGACAAAACGAAATAAAGGTAAATATATTTAAATGTTTACTAGGAGAATAATAAACTAATTTGTGTCTAACATACTTCTAGCTATTATTGAATGCAGGTTGTACTCTAAGTGATGAGCATCATGTTATTGACATTGCCTGCCTTTTAAAAACATTTTTTAGAGAACTACCAGATCCTTTATTTCCTCATAATTTCCATGACTTATTCTTAAGATGCACCATTTCACAGGAAAATACTTTAAAGTCAGCTCTCTTAGGTTGCTTGCTTCTGCCTACTGAACATCTTAATACTTTAGCCTATTTTATGCAGGTAAGGTATAAAAATATTTTAAGTATTATAATTACTTTTAAAGAATCTATTGTAGTTTCTGCAGTATGTGACAGAATTTTCATATGCAAACAAAATGGATGCAAATAACTTAGCAATAGTCTTTGGACCGACCTTAATGCCCCTAGATAATAAAGCAACCTCACAAACTACACAGCTTCAAATGTCGAAAGTGTGCCTTTTATTTAAAGTAAGTTTGGTAGTATAAATACTATTAACTCATTAATAAAATAATACGTCTACTTACAATAAAAAATAAAAAATGAACTGAAATTAAAACTGATTGTAACGTATTACATTACATTCTCTTAAGGTTTTGTTTAATATTTTTTATATATACTCCACCCAAGTAATTATACTTTTTAGACATCTGTATGCAGCTTGATTTTTTAATATGTTGTCTTTGCAGTTGTTAATTGAAAATTCAATCCACATAGGAGTTTTACCTGAAAGTGTTGTTGATAGAATAGCTTTATCATCTAGCTCTCTTAACTCACTTACAGAAGAAGACAGTGCAAATTCTAAAAAGAAAAGGAGACGTAGAAGTGGCTCTTTAACAAGTAATTTTCATATTAATCAGTATCTGAAGTAGTACATTTGATAAAATTGTTTCATTAAAGGGATGTTTAATGGGCTGATAAAAATGGTAGGTGGTAATGGTAAGCCTTCTGAGGAACCAACAGAAGAAAAAGAAATAAGTCCAAATTTATTGCAAACTCCAAAAGTTACTAAAAGTGCCAAAAAGAGGAAACTTGAAAGCACAGGAATTTCACATAAGAAAAAGTAGTTTATTTAAAATAATTCCCTTTTTTTTGTTATTTGTCTTTGTTTTGTTTTCTTTCAGGAAAGAAGTGCTTGATAGTTTGCCACAAAATTCAATTTTATGCACCCCTTACACCCCATGTAAAACACCAGTTAGTAGGAATCCTAAGTAAGTTATATTTCTTGCATGCAACCTCCCTCATTATATTTTTCATCTGAGCTTCTTTTGTTATATATTTTAACACTTTCCTTTGATCCTTCTATTTCTTTTTTTCTAAAAATTATGACATGAATTATGATAAAAAATATTACAAACCTTTTAAATTAAATTGTCCTATTTTGTTATTATTTATTTCCCCACTGTTACTCTACTTATGATAACTACTTATTTTATTGTTTTGTTTATCACTTAATTTTTTGTAGCCCAAAAAACGAATCGCCTGTACCTTCAACACAAAAATCAATCACTCCAACCACAAAATTAACATTGTAAGTTTTTCTAAACATATTTCTTTTTTAATGTTTCTAGTGACGAAATACATCTAAGTAAAAAATTTTTACTTTTAGATCTAAAAATAGAAAATCCCAGTGGAATTTAGTTAAAAAGCAAAAATCAAAAAAAGATTTGATAACCCCCAGTTTAGCTTCTAGTCACAATTCTGGAACAAAGAGTCTGTTAGATCTCAACTGGCCATCTGTAAGTTTTAAGAAAAGCAAAAAGAGAAATTCCTGTATCGCTTCATCAAAGAATATACACGACGACAATAACCAAACAGAAACTTCTACAGATTCATCAGAAATAGATGCGAATAGCGATTCGAAATTGGAAGTAGACAGAAAACCTGACTTTATAGAAGTTCCTCGAACTGAATACGAGGAAATTAAGAATCGAATTTCTACAATAGAAAAAGGACTAAATATGGAACTCGAAGCTCTTGAATCAGTTGTCAAAAATACTAACATACATGGAATAGCTAAAGTACAGACTGAATATGAAAAAATTCTGACAAGTTCAGGCAATTTGAGTCCTACAACAGATCAACTGGCCCGTCGTTTGAGCAAAGAACTGAAAATTCGAAGGTCATCCGAACATAAAGTGATGAGATCGCCAAGTGCCAGGAAAATCGGTAGCCTTCGAAGACGTTCACGAGAACTGGACTTGAAAGATAAAAATAACAGAGTGAAAGTAGCTCGTACTAAAACTTGGCATGATGAGAATCTTCAAACCGCAAAAAGGGTTAGTTTGAGACGGGGAAAACCGAACACAGTGCTCTCTGGACTTCCACAAAATATTCCTGACATAACTAAAACTAACGCACCACAAACATCCACCATGATTACAAGACAACTTAGATCTCATACGTACGATACAAACCGCAATTCCATAGTACAGATTCACGCACCAAAACACCAAAGATCGTCATTAAACCTTAATGCATGTGATAGAAGCCCTAGACATTCACATGTACGAAGATCGTTAAATATTGAAAGTACACAGAATCGTTCCAAAAATTTGTCAGAAAAATGGATGAGTGCCGAAGGATTTTTTAGAACGTTAAAAACTCCTACGGGTGGTAAAGGTTTAGATAGTTGTAGGGCTTCTATTGCTAGATTAAGAAGTCAAAATGCAGGAATGGTAATGGCTAAAGCTAAACTGTTTGATCATCTTTCAGAATCTGACGATTCGCAAAAGGCGTTGCAGCAAATACCAGTGAACAATAAGATTCAAGCAGGGAAGAAGATTGGTTCTGTAAGAGTCACAGAGAAGCCACGTACTTTGAGGTATAGTTCGCCTAGAAAAAGAGCTTGCAAAGCAGTGCATTCCAACATAAATAATAGCAGCGATAAAGAAAATCGATTCATTACAACAGAAGGTGTCTTGCAAGATAATTTATCGAAAAATGTGCCCATAATAAAGAAAAGTCTGACGAAGAAATCTCCAAAGAGATTGGCCCATGCAGTATCGTGCCATGACATTAGAAAGACACCTCTGAAGGTTGTTGCCCCTTCAGAGTTGAACTGCTAAATAATTATTTTGTGATAGACAATAATTTAAAAATAGGGAAAAAGTTTACTCAGTTTTAAGAGTCGTTTTATATTTTATAAGGATTTTTGTATTCGTTATTTCGTAAATAAATAAAAGTGTCATTTTTTAAACTCTTCTATCTGCATTCCTTCGACCATTTTAACTGCTTATTAAATAATTTTGGATTTTTTTATTTTGATTATAATTAAATATGCAAAAATTAAAAAGTCAGATATATAAAATAAACTTTTATTTGAAATAAAACTTATTAGGAAATAATATTCATTATTCTAATTAACAAAGGAAAATAAAAGTATTCTTGCAGAATATTTTTTTACTGATATAGCAAAACTTAAATGAAATTATGTCGCTTTTTCGACAAATTAATTTAGACAGAATTAATAGAACTTATTTACAAACATTGTTTGCATGATGGCAAACAACGATGGGCACCACCATGTTGCAAAGGCCTCGTCCTATTCCACACCACATGTGGAAAAAGAATAAACAATTTTTCGCACAATTTTCTATGAATATGACCCTTATAGCACATTCTTTTTAGAAAAAGAAAACGATCCTCCATAAATTTTTGAAAATGTTGATTAGTGCTTGGTGGGAACAATCTACGGATATTTAAATAATAATCCACAATTTCATCTTTGTATTCGTCTATTTCTTCGCAAATTTCATGGCACAAATATCTGAAAAACAGTATATTAGTATTTTCGTGCACATATTCTACAGATGGTATGATTTACTGAAACCATTTAGTAAAAGTTTAATAGTTGAAAAACTTTAATTTTGTAATGTATGTAAATGTATACTTTTTAGTTATATTTTTGCTAACTTTAAATAACATCTAATAGTTGGCATAAGAGAAACGATAGGTTTGAGGAACCTTAGTATAAATGGATGCAAATTAAACGTTAAAAGTAAAAGTATCTTAAAAGTAACACCACTAAAACTCTAATGAAAATCTTTAATTAATGTCTAATCATAATACTTACAGTGCTAAAAAGAAATTTCTTAAATTATATTCATCTTCTGTCAATTTTGCTCTAAGAAAATAAACGAAAACACTTGCCAGGATATACTTATCAGCTAAAACATTGCATCCATCGTTTTTTAAAAAATATTGAACTTCTTCCCCATCTGGAAATAAAAAAAGGTTACCTTCGTTTCTATACAACAAATCACCTTTGTTATACCCAGTAATGAAAAGAATAAACCAATATAATTATCAACAGACATAATAGTATTATATTAATTTAGTGTTAATATAAAATTTCAAAATTATCTTAAATCTGACGTTTAGCAAATGCGCCAAAAACATTCGAAAATCGACCAATCAATTTTATCCACGGAGAAAATTTCTGGAGTAGTCGCAAGAGTGCACCACAAAATGTTTTGATCAGCAGCAGCAACAGTGGTGAATGAATGGTTGAATTGATACTGACGGTATTTGTTAACGATAAGAAGTTCATAATTTCATCTTTCAACATAAGGAATCAAAGTCAAAATTGTTGTAATTTAAGTTGACATGTAATAGTTTTGTAAACAATTATTTAGGAATAACGATAAAATGAGATCAATTGGAATATCTCTTCTTAGTTTTATGCTCACAACAGTTGTTATTGCAAATGCCTATTACCAGAAGAAACAGTTTTACCCATCTGTGGTTTATATTACAAAATCTAATCCTAGCATGGCTGTGAGTAATTTTAAAACGTTTTTATAATTCACTCAAGTTTCAATTGTAAATTATATTTTTAAGGTTATCTACATCCAAGCTTTTGTAGTAATACTTATGTTTGGAAAACTTATGAATAGGATTTTCTTTGGACAACTGAGAACGGCAGAGTTTGAAGTAAGTATTTCTATTTTAAAATTTATTCATTTAAAAACACTGGATATGTTTCTCAGCATCTGATGGAACGGGCTTGGTATGCCGTTACAGAAACATGTTTGGCATTTACAGTGTTCAGGGACGATTTTAATCCCAAATTTGTAGCGTTGTTTACATTACTGTTGTTTCTAAAATCATTTCATTGGTTAGCTGAAGACAGGGTGGATTATGTAAGTATTATCTCACCATATAAAAATTTAGTTTAAGTTAATCATTTACTGATTTAGATGGAAAGAAGTCCAGTTATTAGTTTGCTTTTCCATCTACGTGTTCTGTCGCTCCTAACTGTCCTTGGTGCATTGGACATGTACTTTGTTCAACATGCCTATTTGTCAACCATAACCAAGGGTGCATCAGTACAGTTGGTTTTTGGTTTTGAATACGCTATACTAGCCACCATGGTGGTAAATGTCGCCATCAAATATGCTCTGCATACTGTTGATTTAAACAGCGAAATGCCGTGGGAAAATAAGGCTGTGTTTTTACTTTATACTGAACTAATTATGGGTTTCATCAAAGTCATCCTATATGTATTATTTGTAATTATAATGGTACGCATTTATACACTTCCATTGTTTGCCTTCAGACCTATGTACTATACAATAAGGAACTTTAAGAAGGCATTTAACGACGTAATACTTTCGCGTCGCGCCATCCACAATATGAACACTTTATATCCTGACGCAACGGCTGAAGAACTCCAAAATGCAGATAATGTTTGCATCATATGTCGTGAAGAAATGGTTACAGCATCAAAGAAACTTCCCTGCAACCATATCTTTCACACAGCCTGCCTACGTTCGTGGTTTCAAAGACAACAAACGTGTCCCACGTGTCGGTTGAATATATTGCAAACAAACATTCCCACGGCAGCGCCAAGGAGAGAAGAACGACCACGAGTTCCCCCTCAACCGCCCAATCCATTTGCTGCACCAAATTTATTTGCCAATCCGAACTTATTCGGTCGAAACGATAACGCCAACCCGTTTGCAGGAATGAATCCATTTCAACAAATTCTAAATCCTAATGAACAAAATCAGAATGCAGCTAATCAAGCACCAGGACAGGCACCAGGGCCTTCTGCACCTACGGGAGGAGACCAAAATAATGCACAAAGTGGTAGTACATCAAATACTCAGACAACTCCCAATAATACCATTCCGCCCATGTTCCCCCCATTCCCACCGTTTCCATTTATGCCGTTTATGATACCGCCACCTTTACCTCCAGAACATTTGAGACGTTTGACAGAAGACGAATTGAAAAGATTGGAAGGTCAAGAAAGAGAAAATGTGGAAGCAAGAATTCAATGTCTGAGAAATATACAGGTGAGAATCAGTGTTTGTTAAAAGATACTTCAAAGAATCTCTTTTGATGTAGGTTTCAAAATTTATTTGTCATTTATTTTGGTTTAAATAAATCAAAGACATGACTAACTGTTCCTCTGTCCCTTTATTTATGTAACTATTGTAATTAGAGGTTTCCATAGGCTTGCCCACACTTTACAGAAAATCTATAGGAAAAATTCATAGTTTTTTACGCCGTTTTTAAATTCTTTTTTAGATTATGTTGGATACTGCAATCCTCATGATGCAACAGTATAGTGCTGCGGCATCTTTTTCTACGATAACGTCTCAAGTTCCTCCACCAGATAGATCATCGGCAGCTTCTGCTGAAGCTGCTTCAAGGGAAACAAACGCCCCCGATACGAACAGTGCCAGTGATCCAGGTGACGCTGCTCCAACAACTTCGTCAAACGCAAATGATCCTCAGTTTAGTGCAACATCAAGCGCAGATCCGGAAAATAACAACGTGGAAATGTCAACTTCTGCGTCTCCCGAGGGTCCTCCTGAGGACGAAGTGCGGAAAAGACGTTTGCAACATTTTCAAAGACAACTAGAACAGCAACAGTAAGGGTAGGTGGTCATAACTTTTATCAATAGTGGTCGGTGTCTTTTAAAGTGATGATGATGACCAAGATGTAAATACACACCGTTATTGGATGATGAAATAAATTCGATATATTGAGTTAGTATATTAACTAAACAGCTAAACTAATTAAAAAAGAATGTAAATAATAACGTGCACACAGAGATAAGATACGGTGCTATGTTATTATTTTCTTTATTCTTATTTTTATTAACTAAAATGGCAAAACGGATTTATTTCAACGTCTGTAAAAGAATATTTTATGGTAACTGGACTTGTCCGTTTATTATTGATAATAATAATGAAATCGTTGAATGTCGTCCTAACTTGGGAAGTAATAATAATAAGGAAAAGATTGATTACTTGTGGTGTAATTTATTGTTTCATGATGTCCTCTGGATATACGATTAATAAGGATCATATGAAGACTGCATTTGCCTTTTATTTTGCGAGCTAACCGATTTAAAATATATGCATAGTATATTTTGTTGATTTTATGTCTAGTTGATATTTTAAACGAAATGTAGAGTATAAATTAACTTCTTGCATATTTGAGTAGGATCCGGTGTACTTTTAATTACTATTAAATTACTGAAATGCAGAAAAAGAGAAATACGAAAATGAACGAACTATAAAAGTTTCATCATTGTTTCTACATATATTTGATGTTTATTTATTATTCAGTTCCAAATTATAATGACCACTTATTTTTTTTTTGTGGAGAATATAGTAACAGTCATAAACAACACATATATTATTAAATTTAATTTAATTTGTAATAACGAGAGATACTTATTTAACAATACAGGTAATTATTTGTGCAAATAAATATACACATTTTATTTTATTGTGATGTCCTTTATTTGGAAATAAATAAATATTAAAGGCTCTGTTTTTTCATAAAAACAATTTAATATTTTCCGAAATTTCTTTTTTTTGCTAAAATATTTATTTTTAATGACAAAAAATAATATGCACGTCAAAAAAGATGTTGTGTATATGTCAGAAAGTTCAAACATTAATGTAAATGAAATATGGAACGATATTTTGATTATTAATGTCATGAACGTAAGGCCAGAGCGTGGAAATCAATATTTTAGTGCTCTATCAAGTAAGTTTGAATGATTATAATATAAAGGTTAAAAACTTTTTGAAATTCTAATATTATTTAAAAATAAGAACTCCAACCGAGAGAACAGAATTCTGAGAATCACAACCATCAAACCAGAAAAAACATTATTTTAATTCTATTTTAGGTTCCTTAGCAGCATTTACCCTTGGAAATGTCATAGGGTGGAGTTCAGGAGCCGAGCGTCTTTTACTAAAACGTGGTTTCTTAAAAGCTCAAACCGATATCTTGGCGATTTTTGCACTTGGATGTGCTATAGTTCAATTTCCTACAGCATTTTTGATTAATAAAGTGGGATGTAGGTTGTGCCTATTAATAGTTACGCTTCCCCTCGCCTGCTGTTGGGTTATTTTGGCTTTTCTAAAAGAAACGGCGATGATCGTATTGATAAGATTTATTCTTGGAATTTTTTCTGGGGTGTCTTGTTTAGTGGTACCCAATTTTTTGGCAGAAATAGCTGACAAGGAGGTTCGAGGATTTATGAGTTCATTTTTCCAAATACTGTTAAATATAGGGATATTGTTTTCATATTGTTTGGCTAAAATGAAAGATTTAAAAGTATTGTGCCTTACTCCAGCAGCTGTACCACTTTTGACATTTTTTTTACTGTTAGCAGTAAAGGAATCTCCAGTTTATATGTACAAGAAAGGGAATGTGGAAGCTGCTAAAAGCCATTTAAGATTTTACCGTGGTAAAAATTACAACTTCGATGAGGAGATCACAGAAATTGATCGTTATATCCATTCCCGAGGACAATCGTTTTGGATTTGTTTAAGAAAGAGGTCGTGTATAAAAGCTTTTGCATTATTAATACTGATGCATGTGGTACAACAAGTCTGCGGTATAAATGCCATTATTTTTTGGACGGAAAATATATTTTTTCATGTGGGAGTTAAAAATATTGCTCCATCCGATGCTGCTGTAGTAGTTGGAATTGTAACCACGGTTTCTTCCGGATTATCCTCTCTACTCGTGGATAAGCTAGGACGTAAAACGATGTGGTTTATTTCTTTAGGAATATCAAGCTTATGTTTAATAGCAATTGGATTATATTTTTTTTTCGACGAGAAAAAATACGACTTTATTCCCTCAGTGTGGTGGTTACCAATTCTTAGCATCAGTGTATATTTGGTTGCATTCAACCTAGGAGCGGGACCGTTACCATGGATAATGATCGGTGAATTGATGCCACATACAGTAAAATCGGCTACCGGATGTATTGCAATAACTATCAATTGGCTTCTTGCTTTTGGAATCGGTTATACATTCATGCCGTTTACTAGAACTTTCGGATATTCTATGATATTCTGGACTTACGCAAGCATGTCTCTTCTTGGTCTTTTTTTCATTGAAATGTTTCTTCCAGAAACTATGAGAAAAAGTTTGGAAGAGATTCAGACAATATTTGATGATCTTTAGTTACCTTTTCATAATACGATGTTGTCTTTTAAAACATATTTTGAATCAATTATTAGATATTATAGAATGTAAGTGGCTTACGATTTTCATTCTTTAAGATGATTGAATTGTGGTGCATTGTAAATCTAGTATTAATCATTGCTATACTCGTGTTGAACCTACTTAATATATAGCATAAGTTAATGAGATATGAACGTTTCTAGAAATCCATAGAAACGTCACGTTGGTCCAGTTGGTCATCATCATAGAAAATAGTAGGTCTTCATGTTTTTGTCGTGAAATGTCAAACTTTGCGGTTAACTGTATGAAATTTGAACATTTTTCTAAATTTATAAGATAAAAATACAAGGATTTGAATGATATATACAAGGAATTGATTTAACTATATAAAACTTATGTTTTTAAAATGTATTATTCATAATTATCCAATGTATAATGACGTAAAAGTACACGTAAGTGATTAAGGTACTCGATGGTGTTCATAAGAGAAATAAATTGTTTTTGATATTAGTGTGTTAAGATGCGCCACAAAATATTAATTATCGTGTTGATATCTCTTTTGTGCTGTGAGTTTTCGGAAGAACTGAATGAAATCAAGACTAAAGAGGATACTAAGGATAAGAATAATGAGAACAATAAGAAAAATGTTGTCTCTAGCGCGGAGGTTTCAGTTGCAGCAGATGGTATTAAAATAGTTGCAGCTCCTGATTTATCAAAAGAACAACCGAAAGCAGGTAAATAGACGTTAACAGTTATTGTGTAGGTGTGTAGAATTTTTCAGTATGCTTGTTTTTAGATGAATCACATGTGACTGAAGAAGCTAGTGATGCTGCTGATTTACTTATGCTTAAGCAGGCCAAATGGCTTCAAAAGATGTTTCAAGAGATTGATAGTCTTAAATTTGCCCTTGTTCAAGATAATTATGATGCTGACTTGGAAGAAGAAGAAGATATACCTCCATTACCAGAAGAGCTTCAAAAAGAACCAGAATTGACTCCTGAACAATTGGAAGCAAAAAATACTTTTGAAAAAGCAAAGGCAATGTTAAATAAAACTAAACCAAATAAACAAAAAGCTTATGAAATAATGGAAGAAGCAGCTAAAAAAGATAATTTAGATGCCAAAGCATACATTGCTTGGGCTATGCTCTTTGGAAATCCTTTATCTCAAAATATAGATGCAGCTAGAGATATATTTACTGAATTAACTAAAACTGGACATCCAGAAGGGCATATGGGTTTAGGTAAATTCATTAAAATTCTTAGTTTTGTGGAACATTTTTATGCATTTAATAAGCAAATTTTGGACATTTTCAACATCTTTCTATAAAATAACACTTTTAGGGTTTCTTTATGCTACTGGGTTGTCAGTAAATGTAAGTCAAGCGAGAGCTCTGGTACACTATACTTTTGCTGCAGTTGGGGGCAATACTTGGGCACAAATGGTGATGGGTTACAGATACTGGTCAGGAGTCACTGTCGCACCTAGTTGTGAAAAAGCTCTAGATTTTTATCGTTTGGTTGCTGAAAAAGGTATTATAAATTAAAATATATTAAATATTTTCATTTTACATATTCCTTTTATAAAATACCTCTACCTTCTCTCCTACCTTCATGTTACTAATCTGCCTATATTGCCCATATTTAGCAAAATTCATTGCGTTGATTTATACTTAATAAAAAGTTCAATTCACTTTTGAGAATATTAGTAAATTTTTTAAAACAAATATCGTAAATGTACGTTAAATGTTTTATGATCAGTGTTTCGTCAGCTTCTAATGTTAACTTAAAATTGTAGTTGCACAGGGTGTAACTTTCGGTGGTGGAACAGGGGTCCAGAGAGTGAGACTACTTGATGAAGCTGAAAATGGTTACACAACAGGCATAATCGATAACGATTTAATTGAATACTATCAACTGCTAGCTGAGAAAGGTGACATACAAGCGCAGGTAACAGTTATTATGATTTCGTTCTTAAGTTGGGCTAATCTGTCTATATTTAATAGGTGGGTTTAGGGCAATTGCACTATCAAGGGGGTAGAGGAGTGGACTTGGATTACCAGAAAGCTCTGCATTATTTTACTGAAGCGGCAAACAGCGGGAATGCTATAGCTATGGCTTACTTAGGAAAGGTATTTTTTTATATTAAGTATAGTATGGTGAATCTATCTTTACAATTCTTCACTACTATCAATGTACATATTAAAATTCTGAAAATTTTCGATATAAAAAGAACTACAAAAAATAAAATTACTTTCCATTACATCATATATAAATTTGAAATTTTCAAAATGTATATGTTTTAATAGTACCTAAATGTGAATGATGATATATGCTGTCTGTATGGATTTACTAAGCTTATGTTCTTTACTACTCTATGATAGTGTTAAGTTTAAAAAAGCATTCATCTTTTCAAAAACACCCATTTCTTTTTATTTTCATAGATTTATTATGATGGTAGTGATGACATTCCTCAAGATGATGAAATTGCATTGAAATATTTCAAAAAGGCAGCAGATTTAAATAATCCAGTTGGGCAGAGTGGTTTGGGTCTTATGTATCTTCAAGGAAGAGGTGTCGAGAAAGATTACATTAAAGCGCACAAGTATTTCCTCGCAGCCGCCGATCAGGGCTGGGTAGATGGGCAATTACAATTAGGAAACATGTATTTTCGTAAGTGATTTCCCAACTTTTTAAAAGATATGAGCATATTTTATCATATCAAAACTTATTTGTTTAAAAATTATGAACACTAACTTATAGATGAAATGAATAGTTACGCGTTAAGAAAACGAAATAGTAATTTTCAGCTCTTAATTTTATATAGAAATCAATTTTATTGATTTTTGATATAATAGTCTAAAATTTACTTTTTCAGAGGGTTTAGGATTTAAAAGGGACTACAAAATAGCCAACAAATATTTCTCTTTGGCTTCTCAATCCGGTCACGTTTTGGCCTATTACAACTTAGCTCAAATGCATGCCCAGGGTTTGGGGATGATGCGCTCCTGTCCTACTGCTGTGGAATTGTTTAAAAATGTCGCTGAACGTGGACGATGGGGTGAAATATTAATGCAGGTAAGCACTATTAATATTTGTCATAGTTTTTGTTCGTTATTTAAGTTTATATGGTAAAATAATATATTTTATAGTGAATTTTTTTTTTGGTTTATTAATTAACTTTGTGTTAGGCTCATAAAGATTATAGACAAGGAAAGAACGATGAGTCATTTGTTCAGTATGCTCTTTTGGCTGAATTGGGATACGAGGTTGCTCAGAGCAACGCAGCCTTCCTGCTAGACAAGAACGAAGTTCCAGCATTTAATACAAACGAAGCGTTAGTGAGGGCTCTTCTTTACTGGGGGCGAGCGGCAGCCCAAGGATACTCAGCAGCTCAGGTAAGAACATTCAAGAATTTTAAAAGTAGTATTTTATTAGAAGTAAAACACTTGATTTGAGATTTACAAGAGGATTTATTAATCGACGTGCCAGTTAAACCATTATCTAAGTGCTTTTACTAACTTTATCAACAAATCCTTTTGTGAAACAAACTAAGTGTCGACCAAAAATTCTATTTCGCTTATAGTATTTTACGTATAACGAAATTCTAAAAAAGTCATATTTTTCTCCTGAAGATAAGAAAGTAATTTCCCTAAAATATTTTTTAACCATAACTTTTTATTGTAATTTTTATATGCACAGGTAAAACTCGGAGATTATCATTATTACGGTCTCGGGACTCCTGTGGATTTCGAAACTGCCGCATCTCACTATCGACTTGCTTCCGAGCAGCAACATAACGCCCAGGCCATGTTTAATCTAGGTTATATGCACGAGCAAGGCCTAGGCATGGCCCGCGATATTCATTTGGCAAAACGGTGCTACGATCTCGCAGCTGAAACCAGTGCAGAAGCTAAAGTTCCGGTAGCGTTAGCGTTACTGAAACTCAACCTCGTCTTTGGAGTTGAAACATTAAAGGAGGTGAGTTTTTCTTAAAAATATTATGTATAGTGTACAGAAACTGAAATAAAAATTAGTTTCTCAGTTAAAGCAGGATTGAAAAGAGAACGGAAAAACTTGCTTATTTAATTAAATATTATGAATCAAAGGTATCTACTATTCTTATATTTTATAAATTTTCTATATAATATATAATTGGTTGTGTAATACCTGATGAAATTTTTATTTATTTTGAAATAGTAAAACAATTACATTATTAGTAAATTGGCCTTATTTTCAAATACCGTTGTTGGAAGTTTCTCTTATTATAAGCAAGTTCTTCAAGTAAATACTTATTAAAACGTTTCATGGAATATGAAATCTAAATCTGACATTAATTTAATGGATTTTTACAGAGCCCGTTATCATCCTTGGCTCTCTTTGAGAAAGTTTTGGGTTCAAATTGGGATTTATACTTAGTTACAACATTAACATGTATGTTGGGTGCAATCGTGTATTTCCGCAGACCCGGAGGCATCTTACAACCCTAAGACTTTACCACAGTGGTCCCTCGTGAGTATTTTTTCTAGTTATTTCCACCAAATTAGATTAACATGTTGTCTGTTGATTTTGTGGTAAAAATTGAACTATTTGTACAAAAGTGAAGTGAATAAAGAGAAACAAGTCTTAAAAAAGAAAGGGCATTTCTCAAGTAAAGCAACAAGGGTATTTCTAAATGAACTACTAGTCCCAAAATTTATTTATTTATTTAAAAAAAATCAAGGAAGTATAAAAGATAATTTTTGTAAGAAAAGATACAAAACCAAATCTTCACATTTTAAAAACATTAATTCGTGACATAAAAATAACATATATTGAATTTTTAAGATACATAAATTAGAAACATAAAATGTTTTTCTTAAAATTAATGATAAAAAATTGTTCACAGATTAAATTACTTCATGTCATATAATTCATTTTAGAATTGCTTTGAAACAAAATATGAAAAAAAAAAAAATACGATACACTTAAAATTAAACTCTTACCCTAATGCAACAAAAAACAGTTACTTGATCAAAAACGATTCTATAAAGGCTGCACCATCGAAACATTCTGTTAATTCATCTTTCGTCTATAACAATTTTTTTTTCTTCAAAGTGTCCATGACTAAGGGTATAATAACATTATAAACACCATCTTCCTCTTGATTAATGAATTCTACTTCGTACATCGAATTTTCCGAGATAAGCTCTTTAACTACATTTAAAACTGCTTCATTTTCAACTTTGACATCTAGAAAAATAAGAAAACTCCTTTTTATTCTGATTTAAGGTTCTTTAGCATTATTTTTTAATCAAACATAAATTACTAAACACTGTAATTATCTAGTGTAGAATGAGAAAATAAGGAATTTTGAACTTATAAATAACAAACAAACTACCTTTAAGGTAGCAAAACCGTGCTACTCGGGGAAATTGCACCAAATTTGAAGGTATCTTTCTTATAAATGCAGGATCTACGGAAGCACAATTACCATAATCTATGAATAGCAGCTCATGATTTTCTTCTCCTTTTTCTGATAAGTTCATTGCTCGATACCAATCGTCTAAAATACAATAAGTGAAGATTCCTTACTTATTCGAAATGAATTTTTTTTTCTACCTTCAAAATAAGCTAAGACGACTTCTAAACTTTCCTGAGGTTGATAAGGTGGGGGGTCACTTTCCATATATTCATTAATGGCAGTTTGGATTGTGGTTAATATTTCCACTACAGTATCACAGAATACCACAATACCTTCGTTTATATTGTTTGTTGCTAAACAAATAACTTGTTGCTTCCCTGAAGGTAGTTCAGGTTTAGGGATCTCTGAAACTTTTACGACTGATGATTTTCCTATAAAATTGTTAAAAGTTGTAGGTAGAAAGTCGAAAACTATGTTAAGACTTACGCTTGGTAGGTGAAACTTTTGGGGATTTTTCTTTTTCGGGAGTTTTGGAAGATGCTTTTCGTGTGGATGTTGATTTTGTTGTTAATTTTTTTAATCTGTCGGATAAATTTGCACCCCCATCTATAGATTTTAATTCAACTTCTTTATCTTCTCGTACAAAAACCTACAAAAGGTGTGTTTTTACTTGAAATTTTTGTGGGTATGAAGAATTACATGTTTCTACATAAAATTCTACAAGATTTAACAATTGTAGTATTAACTTACTGCTTTGAACTTTTCTTTGTTCTCTTTGCATTTTTTGAGTTCTTCGACTTGAGCCTTGTCAAAACTCTGGAATCCTGTAAGTCTTGTTTTAATTAAAGTATTTTCATAACTGGCTAACGTTTTGTCCACTTTCCTCAAGTTTTCGACAGTACAAGTGTCCCAATGACCATAGTCAATAAAATGGATATCAATCGTATCCCCCTTCATTTCGGTAGTGACCACGCGATATAATACATTATCGGAATGAATATGCAACAGTAACTCTCCTATTTGTGGTTTTCGATCCAATGGTTCGGCTAAAATGATAATTCAATTCCTTTTACCTCATTTGAATTTATTTTGATTAATTTTTTAGTAAATGTGCAAATGAAACTTTCTTGAAAAGGCCTTTTATGTGAACACAGTGGTAATTTTTTGAAATTAGTTAATAAAGATGTATCAATATTACACTCTAACCCAGATCATTAAACTATACGTTAGAACTTCACCTTTATAGCTTTTCAAATAGTTGCAAATTTCTTTCAGTTTAGCTATACTTTCCCTCGTTCTAAGCATGAGAAATCCATCATTTTCGGCAAAAATTGCAACAACTGTATTATCTTGTAGTTGAAAATTGGCCAAATCTCGCCAATAATATTGCTTCTGATCCAAATCAATTCCCAAACTTTCCGCGGGATTCCACTGAAGTACGGTCGCCTCATTTTTTTTATTATCAAGCCCCATATTCAGTAACTTCACTTTGTTATTAGGAAGTACTGTTACGTTTATTGTCATACCCTAAGAGAAAATTGAGAAAACGTTCAAAACGCATCACTTAATGATATCAATTATTTTTACTTACCAGTTTGATGTCACTCATTAATCCAGGGTTTACGATGCATACGCATGTGAATTCCGGAATTTTGTAGAATTCGGAAGGTAACTTTTTTACATCTTTAGTCTCCAAAATAGTCCCGTAATCTATTAAGGCTACTTTGAACCTTTTATCTTTGATTTCGACTATGCGCCCTCTTGCATAGGATTCTTCATAGTTAACCACCACAAGATCTCCAACGGTCGCCCTAAAGTGAATTTATAATATCAGACATTAAAGCAAAAACCATAATTAAATGGAATGTTGTAAAATATTCATTTTTATTATTTTTGACTTGAAGTAGTCTGGCCTAGCTTTGAAATGTAAAATCACTAATTAAATAAAAAAAAGCTAATTTATATTTTAAAATTCCTTAAAGGAAACTAATAATAATAGTGGACAATAAATTTAATAAGATAGTTTATAAAACTAATTTCTTTTTGTTTATAAAAGGTCCGCAAACAACAAAAATGTTGATTTTTAAAATTATAGAAAAATGCTGTTACGTTTACCGTGATAATTTATTACGAATAATGGTAAAATATGAGTTGCATATTAAGTGTTAGTTAAGGTTAGTTCAGTTTTAACTTCGTTAGAAGCCTTTTTTACCGTTGTTAATAAAAAGGTTTCATATACTGATTGATATTTCAGAGTAAATGAGTTCTTTAAAGATTACTCACTGATTCAGCTCTTTACCAGGCTTTAAAGTATCTAATGAACATACTTTTTCTACGAATTTCTCAGTTGTAAAGAAAGCAACAATGTGACCGTTATCCATGATATCGTTTACTTCTAATGCACCGCTTTCACCCGGTGAAATATGATAAATAATACTAAAAAGAAAACACATTTAAATTATTTCTCACTAAAAAATGTTTAAAAAATCAATAAACCTTCCAGGTGTAGTCTTGTCAATATTTTCAGAAGCAGATGAAATACTTAAAGATTCATTTTCAATCTCTATATCTTTTGGTAGTGGTTCATCGGTCTTGAATTTCGCCGGGGGCATATGTTGATTGACTTCATTATTAACCACCTCAATCACATACGTGTTATTGTCCTCCTAAAAATAAATATGTGTTACTTACCATTTTAATTAATAACGACTTCATTAATGCTTTAATTATTTAACTATTATTATTGGAAATTGAAAAATCTAAAGTTTTAAATAATTACCTTTAATATTGGTTTAATTTTGAATATGTCATCAACATTCAATTTTTTCTTTGACGAGGTTTTCAATCTAATTTTGATGGCTTGTGCGGGAATAGACTGTAATCTTTCAGAAAGTTGTTTCACTTCCGAAACTGTAGAAGTATTTCCAAAGTCAATAAAATGAACTTTTAAAGAAGGCAAGACTTCTTGAACGACTGCTCTAAACCTTTACAACACACATTAGATTTTACTTATTAAAAGAAAGAGTATGTGTAAACAAATAAGGTTTAATGTATGTTTACCAAAGACTATCGAACATTGCAGCATAAATGCCGCCCACAATAGGTTTTACTGTATTGGCGTTCTGAACTTCCTCTAATATATCCATTGTAATTTTTTGTAATATTTCTTCATTATCTTCCAATGTTACCCAGCCAACAGAATCGCTTTCCACATGTTGCACTGCTACCTACAATTTTAAATTATGATAGGTTTTTAATATAGAACACATTCATATGAGGGTCGATAAGAGTATGAAAATGACCTCCATAATAGTGGGTTTATAAAATTCTAAAAAAGTTTTATGTTATACTTATTCTAATATTCCATAGCAGATACATCAATTGTTTATGTTTTTCCATTTTTGTCAAAATATTTCATATTGTGACTCAGATCTTGAAATGTTTTTCTTAAATGTATAATAATTTATANTCTAACAATCGAAGCAAATCATCACTAAAAACAATTACCATATAATGTCAAGTAATAGTCATTGTATTTAAGTATTAAAGTGGTTTTACATGTTATGAAGTGAATATCAGAATAAGTATATATTACAAAAAAAAACTTAATAACAACTAGCCACTTTTACACTCTTAGTCATCCTAATTCTTTTGATACTCACCATCAAATCCTTTCTTAGTTCTAACTCCACTAATTTTATAGTTTCCTTTGTTTTAATATTTGAAATATCTTCTGTGTTGTTATCATTTGAAGGTGAAACAATTGGAGTAGTTTTTACTCCAGTTACTTTCTCTGAAATGCTGGGTTTAGTTTCAGAATTCCAATTTGTAGTATTATCAGATTTAGTTCGATTTTGAACAAAAGATTCCTGCTTTTTCTCATCTTTTAAGTGACTAATATTTTGCTGAACGTTTTTTATCTGATTTGTTCTGGGTCGTCGCATTTGAGATGCTTGATCATTATTAGCAAATTGATTTCGGTTATTGTAATTATTATTGCTTGATTTTTGTTGATTCGGTGAAAAGGAAAAATCAACGTGTCGTGATTGATGTTGCTGCGGTTGTGGTTGATGATTTTCGTTTCTGAATTGATTTCTGTTTGCATTTTGGTTATTTCTACGATTTCTACTTTGACTCCGTTTATAAGAGTCTTCAAGTTCATTGTTTTGCATGGATCGGCCCCGATTATTTCTCATACTTCTTGTAAGCTGATTTGGACTAAGATCATTTTGCTTGTAACTACTTTCGAAAACAGATCTCTTACAGCTATTTAAAAACAAAACAAAAATGCAATTAATAAACCAAACAATGGTAAACAAGATGAAAATGTACCTTTCAATGCTATCATTCACAATACTTTCATCTAAAACGATTCTATTCTGTATTAAAAATTTTCTGGCTTTGAGTTGCATATATAACTCAAACTGTTCAATAATGGCTCTATAAAAGGGAGAAATCAATCTCGAAGAAGCTATTCATATTACATTAAAATAATTACTTATTATTTTTAAGTTTATATCCTGGTGGAGGATACATACTGGCGTCAAAAAACTTTACACCCATCTTTTTAATTTGTTTTATTGGAACATAAATTGTTCCATCGTCATCTTGTAAAGTAGTAATTGGATTTCCAAAAACATCAACAAGGGATGGGCCTTCTGAGGCCAGAAAATCATCGTCATAATCTTGATACATTGTAAAGGAATTTAAATCACTACTAACTGATGATTCAGATTGCTCCGGTTTTCTGAAAATTTTGAAATTATATACATTCATAAGAAACATTTATATTTATATTTAACTTACACTTTCCTTCGAACAATTGCAGCTACCGGTGGTTTTAATCCAATATTTAGCCTAGAATTGATACTCAGGCTATTGTAAGCATCTTGAGCACATCTTTAAAATAGAAAATTTGGAAAATCGTTTATTCTTTTATTACAAGCTCCACTTACTTTTCAGATACAAAGTACACATTCCCATATCCCTCTGAATTATTAATATATAATTTGCAAATTTCCCCAAATTGACCAAACTCCTTATAAACTTGATTCTAAAAATAATGCAGAAGTTTAGTCAGTCTTAAAAGAAGAGATATTACTATGATTTGCTCTTACCCTATCTGTACCTATTGGTAAATTATAAAACTCTATAGCGGATCTAAAATAAATAACAACATTACACAACATAATATGGAAAGTTTATATTTAATAACAATTGCTTTTCCTTTGTGCCACTGAAAATTATTAAAAAATACTACTCTTCAATTAATAAGAATGCTACATAAAAGAGTAGTCGCATTAAACTCAACAAAGTGCAAAAAGCATTTTTAATGAATCTCAACACTTAGTGTTTAAAACTTATTCAGTTTTCCATGTATTTTTTGGTTTAGTATAGGTCTACTTCATGTAAATGTACCTAAATATGTGCAAAACATTAGTTTCTCAACACCCACCGCTACATACTTTTTTATTATTTATTTCTCAGTTATGGTTAGTGAAGGAATAAACCCTGAATGAAGGAGCAATGAAAAAACTTATAAAATAATCTATGCTATTATAGTACAATTAAAGCAAACACCAGCCACAATATTTAAAACACAAACACTTACGATGTTACTTTTGTAGATTCTGTAGTATCCATTTACAATAAATATTGAATTCGAATGAAAAAAAGTCCTAAAACCATCATTTATGATTTATAAAATATTGGCAGTATATAAAAACAATCTCGCTGCTATTTTAATTTATAACATGAATTATAAACTTTCTCGTTAGCATAAGTAATATATAATTATTAAAAGTGCCTTTCCATTAAGTTTGCAAAATATGAAATAAATAGAACATGTTTAAGAAAATGTTTTGTAATGGAAATGTTATAAAAATCAAAATGATATATGCATGGTGTAAACTTGAATATGTTTATTTATTATACAGTTATAGAATCACCATGATATAAAAACGCAAATATATTTATATTAATTACCTTATTAAAATTTGCAAAGAAATCTAACAATCGAAGCAAATCATCACTAAAAACAATTACCATATAATAGTTTTTAACACCTACCCACCATAGATTAACCTCATCTAACCTATAAATTATTTTCTACTTGCAATTAGGCAACATAATAATTCAAACTCCGTTACCAACGCTACAAAATTTAAAACCCTTTACCCTTTGTGTATCTATTATCTATGTCTATGATTTAAAAATTAAAAGCATAACCCTTCTATTATGCTGTAATATTCTGCAAAGTTTTATGTAATGTTTAATTTGTTTGTAAAGCAACTTTTTCGAACTAAATCAAGATTTTTTAATTCAGTACAAAATGCTTCAATCGCCAGAAAGTCTTTACACACATCGACATCCGTTAATATCTTTTTCGAGCCGGACGAAAAAGCTGGTTATAATAAAAACAGGAAATTACCCTCTAGAATTGAGTTAATTAGGGAAGGATTTAAGGAATTAAAAACTGAAATTGCCCTTTGGACAAGCGAAGTGAAAGAAAGACTTGAAATTGATCCAGTACTTGAATTTAGACCAGGCGAAACAGACGTTGCGTGGAGATTTAAAGATGAAGAATCTCTTAAAAACTGGATTATTACATCTGATAGTGATAATAATGAAGGTTTCAGTAATAGCTCCTTAACAATAAATAAGTACGGTAAAGGTGTGTTTTCTGGAGAACTTTCTACAAGAGTTCCTAAAGATGGTAAAATAAAACGTGCAGGATACTGTAATATGACAACCTTAAGGGCCAGAGTAAGTTGTTTGTATTTAAATTTAACAAGATGTCTATAAATACATTATTAATGGATAATTGATCAGAAAAAGAGGCAATCAAACAAACATATAAATAGTTAAACAAAGTTTGTAGTTTGCTCTGATCAGGTGTCCATTTGCCACTTATTATTAGCAGTAGTATAAATATGAAGTAAACTAAATTAGCATATTTTATTAGAAATCATTTAAAAGGGAGTCTTATTATAATTGGAGCAATTACAATACATTAGTAATGAAAGTTAAAGGTGATGGACGATCTTATTTCTTAAATATACATACAAAAGGTTATTACGATATAATGTGGTTTGATATGTTCCATTATGTTTTATTTACAAGAGGGGGTCCATATTGGCAGGTAACTAAGGTAAAACTGTCAGTTTTCTTAAAAAAAAGACAGGTGTAACTTGATTTATATTTGCAGATACCATTTTCCAAATTTTTTCTTTCATCTAAAGGTAGAATCCAAGATAAACAATTTCCTGTGCCTCTAGATCGTATTACAAGTTTCGGAATAACCGCAAGTGATAAAATAGATGGTGAATTTAAATTAGAAATTGATTATATTGGCTTAGAATATGATCCAAGTCATATAGAAAACTTTGCTTATGAAATGTATGAACAAGATCAAAAATACATTGTGGCAACGTAGCAGTTACTAGTGAATTTGTTATTTATTGACCAATAAATTTGTTTAAAAAAACTTTAGATAGATGTTTAATTTTTTAAGTTTTTAATAGATGTTTTTGAAAACCTGAATCGTGGTTTGAATGGTAAATTGAACTTTCCGCCAAAAATAGGCTATTATATCGAATTAAGATTTTTTGTATATAATATTTCGAAACTTTTTTAATTTTTTTGAAATAGGAAGTTCTTTTTGAGTCCGTTTATAAATAATTATTTAATTATGTACATTACGTATAAACATTTTTACATCGCTTAAATTTAAAATATCAGTAAATATAGTAATTCGATGTAATACTTATTATATTATTACCACAGATAAGGTTATTACCATATTATTACATAATGTCATGTTAATCTATGGTCATGTTTACCGGTATCTACGACAGGAGTTGCTCATTGTATTTTTACTTATGTTATAATGAATTTGAATAATTTGTATTTGTTAACCAACTATAATAAAAATTAAACCAACTAAAATATAATGGTGATCGTTTGTGTTACTAAGAGACTTTGTTGAGTTTAATTCTAGAAGAGTTAAGGTTAAGTTTTAAACGTTTTTTAAAAAGTAATATTAATAACTTACTAGTGCATTTATTGTTTTAGTTACCATTTGAAGATGTTTTGGAACACATTTCGTGTTACATTTCGCCCTTTCTGTCGTTATCAAATTGAAACGTTTACCAGTATAAATGTAAAATACCATTTCTACAATTCCTTTCATAGGAAATGTGACCACACACTCAGTTTCCCACTTAGATGGAATAAATTTGTAAGATGTGTATGCACTTCAAGTGTTGTGGAAACAAACAAATACAATGAGAAAAAAATACGAAAAGAAATTAAAAACTACATAAAAGAAAACAGAGCCAAATTTAAAGACACGGAGCAACATATAAGAGACAAAAGTGTTGCTCTATTTAAAGATATTAAAGAGACTAAGGATAAAATGAAAGAAAAAGTGGACAGTATGATAAAGGTTTGTATATAAAACATTACCCTTCTATATTTTTAATGTTTTTTTTTATGTAGAAAGAAAATATATACACAATACCAAATTTATTATGCATATCAAGGATAATGCTATCACCATTTCTAGGTATGTTAATAATTCAGGCAGAATTTCAATATGCTCTTGCTGTATTAGGTATTGCTGCAGTAACTGATTTGGTAAGTTAAAGTTCACTTTCAAANATTTTTAATGTTTTTTTTTATGTAGAAAGAAAATATATACACAATACCAAATTTATTATGCATATCAAGGATAATGCTATCACCATTTCTAGGTATGTTAATAATTCAGGCAGAATTTCAATATGCTCTTGCTGTATTAGGTATTGCTGCAGTAACTGATTTGGTAAGTTAAAGTTCACTTTCAAACTTATTTCCTATATTGCCAGTTCTTTGAAAGGGACAACTTTGGACTTCATAATTTTTGCCTCCTGAAAAATAGTTAATATTCTTTTGTATTCATTTTAATAATAAATTATTCTTATTAATTAACTAAATTACTTCTAGCTGGATGGCTGGATTGCAAGAACATGGGAAAGTCAATCTTCAAACTTAGGTAGTTTCTTGGATCCTATGGCTGATAAGGTTCTAATTGCCACTTTATTTTTATCACTAACATATGCTGAACTTATACCTGTAATTTTAACGGGGATGATTATTGGAAGAGATGTACTTTTGGTCACTGCAGGATTTATTATTCGATACCAGTCTTTGCCCCCACCGGTAAGTTATCTAATGATTACTTATTTCAAAAAATTTCTAAGGTTTTATGGTACATTTTTAAAAGCAACAAAAATTTTAAGAATAAATTATGGTAAAAAATACATTTAAATAAAAAACTAATTACCCTGACGATCCTGTATCTTCTGAAGAAGTCACAAAGTGGCAAAACGATTGTCAAAATAATAAAGTTAGTGGAAGTTTGATTAGTTTTTTATCTATACGACAAAAGTTATATAACAAAATATTCGTACAATGCAAGCAGCTAACATCTTTAAAAAAATAGAAATTTAAATACTGCGGTTTAGATGTTTTAAATTTTCAGAAAACGTTAAGCCGCTATTTTGATGCGTCTCATGCCACAGCTAAATTGGCGCCCACTCTTATTAGTAAAGTCAATACAGGCATTCAGCTTTTGTTGGTCGGTTCAACATTAGCGGCCCCAGTGTTTCAATATGTTAATCACCCAGCGTTACAAACGTTATGGTAAGATACAAAATAATTAACTAACAGCAGTGAGCAGTTTCGAGTAAAATAAATTTGTCTAGGTATGTAACGGGGGTAACGACTGTGGCTGCGGGGTTGAGTTATATCATGTCCAAAAATACCTACAAAATATTGACGAAAGAGAAATAGACAAAAATTAACTCATTTATTGCTTTGTATAATAGTATATAATTTAAGTGCAATTATAATTGACCTGACGTGTGTATATACATATATATAATGTAAATAAATATATTTTTACAAATTATAAAAAGTGGCCAGAAATATTACTGACTAATAAGCAGTTTAAACAGCTATTTCTTACTGAAATTTAAGATGAAATAATAGAAACGAGTTTTATAAAAAAATATTTATTTCATAAAAAGCATGTTATCATGAAATTATTATTACCCGTTATTATATTATAACTCTTAATAAAAGTCATGCGCTATTATTTAATCAATAACAATTGTACAGTAACTATCGTGATCCATTTTACTTATATTTTTACTGATTAAAATTATTCCTGCTTTTGAAAGGTGTTACCACTAATAATTCTTAAGAAATTATATGTAAATAAATAATAAAAATGAAGCAATTCAAAACGAATATTAACAAAAATGTTTAGAAATTAACGTTAAAAATATAAAGTACAAAAACACAACATAAAAATATCCGTAACATTATAACTTATACTGACTATTAATAAAAAGTGTAGTATTTTATATAATAATAATTACAGTATTTTATCACATAAAATACTACACTTAATAACATTGTATTCAATCTGACTGTGATTCATGTTCACTAGAAGTTCTACGCTTCTTTTTAGATAACATTTTTAGAGGTTTTGCCTTGCGCTTTTCATTACTGCTGGGAGCGGATTGCTCAGGCTTTCCTTTAAAATTATATTTAGCGTTTAGCCGTTCACGTATAAGTAGACCTTTTATGAGTTTTTTCCAATTTCCATAGATCCGTTTTTCTATTTTCTCCTGTTCTTTACGTTCCTGTTCTTCTTGTTCCTGTGAAGTAAAATATTTTTTATACGATAAATTGCAATTGAACTTAAAAAGTTAGTCAGCATACCATATGCCATGCAGCTACCAATATGTCTTCGTATTCGACACAAACAACGTATCCGTCGATGATAGGGTGACTCCATCCCCCATGAAAATCAAAGCCAGTCACAGCCTCGGCGCAATCAATTTTCAACTTGTAAGCAATTTTATTTAATCCTGGTACTGAATTAAACAAAATAATTTTCAACTTTAGGTCTTCAATAAAACATTAATAATGCTTACATCTTAAATGAACACAGCCTTTTGGTAGCATGCATTCTTTAAATAAATCAACATTTCCATAAGCGTTGCGTGGAACTACCCCATTTTCAGCAGTTGGAGGATCATAATCTTCCACCTGCCACATACCAAATATTTCCAGTGGCAGATCGGTGATCACTTTTCCTGATAACTGGAAATAGAAAAAATCAATTATTATCCAGAATATGTATTTGTATTCACATACTTTATCATATTTAGGCCTGGCTTTAACAATTTTGTACGGTTTTTCACCTCTTTTTACCACTTTTGCTTGTTTAAGCCAAATTTCTCTTGAATGCAGTGTATATACGCAATATCGGGAATAAACAGGTTCACCTCGAATATAACCCAGCGGGACGGCATCAGGGGGGTAAATTGCTTCAAATTTTAATAGATGCCTTTGTAAAGCGTATAGAGGATGATTTTTGTATCTAATAATTTTTTAATGATGGTTTAAAACAAATACATTTAAACACTAAAACATACTCGCTTATAGTTTTTGGTAGAGGCTTCTCTAATTGCATCTGTGCAAGTTCTTCATCCTCTTCTTTGTCTCTTGCTGTAGGTTTCCCTATGTACGGTTTAAGTGTTTGCTTCCACCAATCGGAATTCACCCTTAACTTTCGAATTACTGTGTGCCAATCCTGACAGTACCTACTTGTTACATCCTTTAATGTGTTATCGTTATTCCATGCTATTATGTACGAAACTGGCTTGGAAGCTCGTGACTGAAAAAAAATAAATTATTATTTTGAATCTGTTTAAAGGAAATTTTTTCTTACATAGAGTGCGTTAACGCAATGTATTTCTGCTTTTATAACGTCGACACTGATCCATTTCTCTTCTGCTTCTAAAAAGACTTCTGCCCAAACATCGTTGCCCTGTTTTATTGCCTCCTGGTCACTATCACTGGACAAAACTCTCCTGTCGTTTTTCCACTGAACTCTTTTTTTAACTTTCATGTCTGATTTTATTTTGAAATCTTCATCACTGTCGAATTTTCTTTTATTCGCTTCTGGGGCGTAATCGCTATCGTCGCTTTCAGATTTCGATCTTTTGATCTTCACCAATTTCGCTTTTTCTGCCATTTTCTGATTCTTTACTACCCCTTTTACTAACTTTATTATATCTTCTTTAACACCCCCTTTAGAATGTTTTTCAGGTATTATATTCTGTTTTATTTTTATATCTTTAGATTCAATTTTAGGTTTTGGAGGGGAAGTGTCCTTTATAGCGTCTTTATTTAATTTTTGTGATGGACTAGGTTGAAAATCATCTTCAGAATCTGAAGTGGACTCCTTGTAATTAGAAACCGTTTTCCTTAGACGCCTTGGATGATTTTTAGAACAAGAACTTTTACGTTCTTGATGAAGTTTGCTTAAATTTGGTTTTCTTTTACGATCAGAATTTGACTCACTATCACCATCGTTAGCTCCATCAAGTTGTGGAACAATTTCTTGTGTTTTACTTAAATTTTTCTGTTGTGAACGAAGAACTGGTTTCTTAGATTTTTTTTCAATTAAATTTTGTTTATTTGTTGCTTTTTGTATTTTTATTTCGCTCTTATTATTATTTTTTAATGATGTAATAACATTACTGGAACTAGATCTTGCTCTTAAAGAATGCTTTACTGGAATAGAATAAGATTCTTCTGAAGAAGGTTGTTCAATATTCTTTTTCATTTGATTTGTGGGTTTCAATTTTGTGATGTTCATTTTTGTATTGGTGATGGCCTTCTGGTTTTGATGTTTCTGTAATTTTATTTTTTCAGATATAGAAAATGAAGATACTTCAGGTTTGTTAGAATCTGTAGTATTTTTCTTCTCCTGTATAACTTTTTTAGTTTGTTTTATTTGGCTTCCAGTGTTGTTAGAGGTTGCTTGTTTTTTTCTAGACCCCTTTTTCAAATCCGTTATATTTGTATTATCTTTAGACCCTGATGGTGAAGATTCTAAATTGCCTTTCTTTTTGGTTGTGTTACCTCTAATATTCTTCTTTTCTGGCAAATTACCTTGTTTTGCATCCTCAGTTTTAATTTTTTCTTTTTGCACTGTTTCATTTTTTTTATGTGGTTCTTTTAAACTTAGTGAATGAAGTTCGCTGCTTGGGGGTCTTAAGGGCGCCACTCTAAAAGACAAAATTAACCGACATTGTAATCCAAGAGCCCTTAATATACAGATAAAAATATAAACAAATGACTTTGAATTATGAGCCTCTTTTTGTGTAATTTGTTCTTGGAGGATCTCAAGCGATTGTACATATTTTGATTCTGGTTTATTTGTTAATTTTATAGTATTACTGTACCAAGAAGTAAATTGCTGCAAATACTTTAAATCAGCACGCCCTTTTGGATAGCATTTTTCAGATGGTACCAATGATAATGCTGAAGCTAACAGATTAGGATCATTTAAAATGTTATTTACATAATTTCCATGTGCAATCCAGCACAGCAAGTGAACTTTGTGTATCAGTATTTGATTTTCTTTTTTTATTCGGTTCAGGCGTCTTTTTATCGCTGCCTGTAAGTCTTCGCCCTTTTTCTTTCTCATATGTTCTGGTAGGGACACTGTTATTTGAATGTCCTTAGCAATAGCTTTTAAGTCATTATTTTCATCTATGACCTCTTCCCAATCTTCTTTTTCTGAATCAGACAAGTCTAAATTATAATTAAATGTTGATTGATTCGCTATTGATGTAGATGGTTGTGCTTCAACCTGTGCTAGCATACTCAAAATGTCCTGGTCTTTATTAGGTTTGTCTTGAGAAGTGCCTTTTGAATTTTCAACATTCTTCTGTTGTAATATGTACTTTTCAATGTGCTTTTTGGCATCTTCTAATTTTCTAGTGTAATCATGCAAATGCTGAAAATTGAGTTTTGAATTACTACTTTGCACAAGGACTGGCTTGTTTTCAAGTTTTTCTTTTCCATGCTCTTCTTCCAAACATTTGACTTCATTTTCTGAACTTGAGTCAGAAAGTTGCTTAACATCAGAAAATATATCCTTTTCAATTGTTTCAAATGGTACTTGCTCAGGTTGCATAGGATTTTGAAAAAATGATGAATTCAAATCTATTTCTGAAGCTGTTTTCAAATAATTGTCTAAATCACTTTCACTGCTAGATGAACCATCAGCTTCCAGTTTTTTTGTACGTTTTTTCTTAATAGTTTTAATTTTTTTAATTTTAGACCTTTTAAAATCATCATCATCACTATTTTCGCATTTATCTTCTAGGGATAATCTGTTGTTCCTTCTGGTACGTCTCATTTTAAATATATCCTTTACACTTATTAAAAATGGAATTTTACCTTTTGAATGGTGTTTTTTATTAAGGCATTTCAATGTTTGCAACAGTTTCGAATTTAAATATCTTGTTAGAGCATATATTAAAAATTATCCCATTTTCAGATTGCATAATTAAATATTTATTTAAAAATAAATTTCGGTGTTTTAACTAAAAACCTCAATAATTTAAAAATTCGAAAGATGAAAACTAATAATAAACTGTATGGTCTATACTTTTCGTGATTAAAGTAAAACGATTTTGCAAACTTTTGTAATGTTTATAATATTGTTTGGTTTTTGGTTATATTGTACGTCATAACTAGAATAACCAATCAGATGTGCTGTAAAATTACATCGAAAGAGTGCCTTTTATATGGAATATTAATTCATCCACGAAATTATGTACATTACGTATAAACATTTTTACATCGAATACAAGTAAAATGGCGAATTTATGTTTAATAAATAAACGTTTAAAGTTATACTGGTTTCCTACAAAAACCATTATAAAAAGGTCGTTTAATATATGAAAAGTTAGTGTATAATAATTCAATAAATTTAACTATTGACTTGTTGCCAATAAAGTTGCTGTCACTGATAACCTTATCGTTATACATTTCGTACGGATACGTTTTAACTCATAGACAAGAGAGGTTTTAACTTCAAGTTTACGAAAGTGCGACTACGCCAAGTAATTATTTATTTATGTTTTAATGTAGTGCAGAGTTGATCCTGTAAAATGGCTTATCACTATGTTGTGACTGCTCATAAGCCAACAGCCGTAACGGCTTGTGTAACAGGTAATTTTCAAAATGCCGCTTATAAAGCTAATTTAACCTCTTTAATTTGATAGGTAACTTTACATCTCCAAACGATTTAAACTTGATCGTAGCTAAAACTACGAGGCTAGAAATTTATCTTGTAACCCCTGAAGGTCTACGACCTGTAAAGGAAGTTGGAATATATGGAAAAATAGTTGTTTTAAAACTATTTCGGCCACAAGTAAAAAACCCTATTCTTACTCTTTGTATTTGACTAAGATATCATAATTTTTAGAATGAAAAAAAAGACCTTTTATTTATTGTTACAATGAAGTATAATGCTATGATTTTGGAGTGTATAAATGATGGAGAGAATTTAGAAATAATTACAAAAGCACATGGTAATGTTGCTGATAGAATAGGAAAACCTGCAGATACTGGCATAATTGCAGTAATTGATCCCAAAGCGAGAGTGATTGGTCTTCGCTTATATGATGGATTGTTTAAAATAATTCCACTTGATAAAGAGAATAATGAATTAAAAGCTTCAAATATAAGGTAATATTTTATTTTTATTTAATTATTATTTTTTTATGTGTGAAAAAAATACATTTCAGAATGGATGAATTGCAAGTGCAAGATGTAGAATTTTTACATGGTTGTGCTAATCCAACAATAGTTTTAATACATCAGGATTTGAATGGTCGTCATGTTAAGACACATGAAATATCATTAAGGGATAAAGAGTTCGTGAAAATTCCTTGGAGGCAAGACAATGTGGAAACAGAAGCCTCAATGATTATTCCAGTTCCTTCGCCACTTTGTGGAGCTATTGTTATTGGACAAGAAAGTATTTTATATCATGATGGTATAACATCAGTTGCTGTAGCACCCCCAATAATAAAAGTAAGTATTTTTACAAGTTTCTGAACATTTTTAACTAACTATAGTTAAGAAGCATTTTTGTATTGATTTTTCAATATTTATATTGGCTTAATAACTTTTTAGCAAAGCACAATAGTATGTTATGCTAGAGTAGACCCTGGAGGATTACGATATTTGTTAGGAGATATGGCAGGGCATCTGTTCATGTTATTCCTGGATGTTGAAAGTCGTGGTGATGGGGCTGATGTAGTTAAAGATTTAAAAGTTGAATTATTAGGTAAGGCTTAACTTCTATTTTATTAGTTTCTACAACTATTAGTTTTTAAAAATTTCGAAGGTGAAATAGCAACTCCAGAGTGTATCACTTATTTGGACAATGGTGTAATCTTTATTGGCTCTCGATTGGGAGACTCACAGTTAGTGAAACTAAATACCAAAGCCGACGATAATGGATCATACGTCACGCTGATGGAATCTTTCACAAATTTGGCCCCCATAGTCGATATGTGCGTTGTAGATTTGGAAAGGCAAGGGCAAGGACAGCTCGTGACATGTTCCGGAGCTTATAAAGATGGCTCCCTGAGAATTATCAGAAATGGAATCGGGATACAAGAGCACGCGTCAATCGATTTGCCAGGGATTAAAGGAATGTGGGCACTAACTGTAGCCTCGGGTAAGAAATTCTTATGTTTATTTGTATTTTGCCAAATTCTTAAGTATTCCAAGGTAGTAGATTTTTTTTCGTCCCGCTATTGTATGTTTAAAATTCGAAAAGAAAGGTTTCAAATAATTTTGTTGTTGAAAAATCAACATCGACGTTTCACCTTTGGTTTACTATAAAAAACGTACTTTAAAAAAGCATCACATCCAGATGTAAAATGTCGGTGTTGGTTTTTCAAATTTAAAGTATTTATAAGTCTTCTGTGGTTCTGATTTGTACTCATTCTAAAGTAATACTTTCTTTTTGCTATCTTTTTAGATGCGAAATTGGACAACACCCTAGTGCTTGCATTCGTAGGCCAAACGAGGGTATTGAGCTTGAATGGTGAAGAGGTGGAAGAAACAGATATTGTAGGCTTTGCTTCAGACCAGCAAACTTTCTATTGTGGAAATGTAGCACATGATCAGCTTGTTCAGGTTACGCCAATGTCGGTGCGACTTGTCTCTGCTCAGTTAAAGACACTATTAGCCGAATGGAAACCGCCCACCGAGAAAAGTATTAGCGTTGTCGCGTGTAACACCGAACAAATTGTCGTATCGACAGGATCAGAACTTTTCTACATCGAAATTCATCCCAACGAACTCATCCTCAAAGGGTAAGGTAGATACAAAAGCAATTTTAAGTACTTGGTAGTTCTGAGACTTTAAAAAAATAGTTAAAAAAGGAGTTGCTTCATATAACATATTGTCATTCTGTTTCGTTACAGGCGAACAACGCTAGATGTGGAGCCCGCATGTTTGGATATTAGTCCTCTTGGAGAAGGTGCCACAAGATCGAATTTAGTGGCTGTCGGCCTGTGGACGGACATTTCTGCGCGTATTCTGAGGCTACCAGACCTTATAGAAGCGTACAAAGAAAATCTAGGTGGAGGTGAGTAAATTAAATAATATTTCAATGAAATTTTGGTATAGCAGAATACTAGGAAAACGAGATATATATCAATCAGTTTTACGTGTAAGATGCTACAGCTTTGTACAGAATATTTATTTATATATAAGTAAGTTATTTATTTATGTATCTCAATTTGTATTTTTTTTTGTTTAACAGAGATAATTCCGCGGTCAGTACTGATGACAAATTTCGAGGGACACAGTTACCTATTGTGTGCCCTGGGCGACGGTTCAATGTTCTACTTCAATTTGCACAAGGACTCGGGCACGTTGTCGGAAAAGAAAAGGGTCACGCTGGGCACCCAGCCGACTGTTCTGCGTACCTTCCGATCGCTAAGCACGACGAATGTGTTTGCATGCTCCGATCGACCTACGGTTATATATTCATCCAATCATAAACTTGTCTTCTCGAACGTCAACATGAAGGAGGTAAATCACATGTGTTCGTTGAACGCCGAAGCCTATCCTGACAGGTAATTTATTTTTATAAAATAAATACTTTGTTTTCCGTTTTGTTTAATTTTCAAGAGCATTGTAAAATTTGTTTTGCTAATTGATTTATTTAAAATATTTTTTTTCATTTTGATAATTGGGAGAATAGATATTTCACTGATCAGTGAAATTTTCCAAGCTTGTTTTTATGTTATATGATATATTTCACCAAGTGTTTTCAACGNTATTTTGAAAAACTGTATATTAACGTTCTTTTTCCTATATCTTCTACCTGTCATATTAAAATAAATTATAAGTGAAGATAGTTTGTAATTTGTTCCAAATTGATTCGTTATTCTGCTCCTGCCATTTTTAAATAGTTGTCAATAAAATGTAAGTTACAAATATCCAAGAAATTGAAGTTTCTGAGACCTTGGTTATTATTTGTAATTTATTGAAGAATTAAAGCAAACGAGAGCGTATTTAGATCATTTATTGAATAATCTTTGATAATAGTTGTGATTTATTGATGAATTTTAAAACGCTAACACTTAAAATTCCACATAGAACGTATAAAATACATAAAACTCGGTTGTCGAAATGCATTTTAGGCTTTTTAAACGTTTAATGTTATGTTATCTTAACTTTTTTATTTTTAAAGTTATATTATTTAAGCCCTTATTATTTTTATAACAGTTTAGCTCTAGCGACCGACAGTTCGGTAACAATAGGTACCATCGACGAAATTCAAAAACTCCATATTCGTACAGTGCCTCTACAGGAATCCCCGAGGAGAATTGCATACCAAGAGTCTTCTCAGGTAAATGCATGATTTAAAACTTTATGAATTGGCCATTTTTATTAATATTAACGTCAGTAAATTATATTAATTTACTTGTACATGAAATTCTTTTATCAATTACCAATCTGGCAAAATAAATAAGTTACGTTTTTTGCATCCATTTATTTTATGCAATAAAAACGAACTAAATAAAATATGGGATAACAAATTTTGAAGAAACTATATACGTGTTAAATGACTGTTTTCAACTATTTTAACAACGTGGTGCAATTTTAGTTTTTTGGCGATATAATCGTAAATCTATTACTATCTTTCTTATAGACATTTGGCGTGTTGGCTGCAAGAATGGATGTGCAAGACTCGACCGGTTTGAACCCTTCTCGACCGAGTGCGTCAACGATGACCCAATCGGTGACGGTGTCAAGTAGCGTGGGTTCACTTACGTTGGGCAAATCAGGAGCCAGTGGTCTCTCAGGAGGGAATACAGTCCCCGAGTACGGTCAGGAGGTCGAAGTTTATAATCTCTTGATCATCGATCAGCACACGTTTGAATTCCTGCATGCACACCAGTTTATGCAACAGGAGTATGCGATGAGCCTCATTTCGTGTCAACTTGGTGACGACCCCAATATTTATTATGTAGTTGGTGAGTTTTGTTCTGTTTCACACTTTTTTAACATAAAAAAAATTCTTTCCGATTGGACTCAACAAAATAAATTTTTATAAAACGTAATTTTATTTAGTAGCTGTAATGAAGCATTTATTTTTTTGTAGGTACTGCTTTTGTTAATCCTGAAGAACCAGAATCAAAATCAGGCAGGTTGATCCTGTTTCATTGGGCTGATAATAAGCTCACACAGATCTCAGAAAAGGAAATCAAAGGTGCTTGTCATTCCCTAGCTGAGTTTAATGGTAAACTCCTAGCTACTATTAACAGCACCGTGCGATTGTTTGAATGGACAGCAGAGAAGGAACTTCGGCTTGAATGCTCCTATTTCCATAACATTCTTGCACTGTATTTGAAAACTAAAGGCGATTTTATTCTCGTTGGCGACTTGCTGCGTAATATGACCCTCCTGCAGTACAAAACCATGGAAGGTAAGAATAACACAAAATTTTCTAAGAGTACAAATACAAATGAAAGAATTAACATTTACTGAAAGTTTACACGATGGTTGCGAAATGTTCGTATGCAAGAACTCGAACTTTTCCGCGCACAATTTTCACGAAAATACATGTATTCATATGGCGCGGACTTAAGTCACCCACGCGTGAATTGCGTGGCAATTCGTCCCGCATTCTTTTAATGAACGTAGAACGCCAAGACCTTTAATTTTATATATGGTACATGTACTAATAAAAATATAATTACTGAAATAGAAAGTTTAACTGACTACCAATTTAGTTTTTGTTAAAATTTACCTACTACGTCTATTATCAAAGAAAATATGATAAGTGTATTAAAAATGGTCGATTTTTAAATCCTTAGATATTATTAAAAAACTGTTATACAGTATAAGCTTAAATTATTGTAATTTAATACTGTTTTTCTATTTTTCAGGTAGTTTCGATGAGATTGCTCGAGATTTCAATCCCAATTGGATGACAGCAATTGAGATCTTGGACGACGATACTTTTTTGGGAGCCGAAAATTCGTATAACATATTTATATGCCAAAAGGACAGCGCTGCAACGACGGACGAAGAAAGGGCGCAAATGCAAGAAGTTGGCCAGTTTCATGTCGGCGATATGATTAACGTGTTTCGACCTGGGAGTCTAGTAATGCAAAATTTGGGTGAAACGTCAACACCCACTTCAGGCTGCGTGCTTTTTGGCACAGTTGGTGGGGCCATAGGTATTATTATTTTTATTTCCATTTTTACAAGATACCAACTTAGTTTTATTCACTTTGGATTAATGAAGATGCTTTAATACAGAAAACGTTTTTAAACTCTTATTTTCAAACATTTCAAAAATTAATTCGTAGTAGGAAACATTTCATTTATAGGTCAATCCTAAATATTTGAATAAACCTTATCATTTTTTTTTTGTAGGTTTAGTTACACAAATCCAGCCAGACTTTTTTGAATTCCTGCTTGAGCTGCAGAACAAATTATCGGTAGTAATAAAATCGGTAGGGAAAATAGAGCATTCATTTTGGCGTACTTTTCACACAGACATAAAGACTGAACCGGCCGAAGGTTTCATTGATGGAGATTTAATAGAGAGTTTTCTGGATCTATCAGCTGATAAAATGAAAGAAGTCGCTGACGGCTTGCAGGTAACGTTGAATATTGTCTTACTTTTTTGTGTAAATTTGCAGAATGTCTGTTAGCTTGAAGAAAGTTACTTTAATTCCACTGTTGCACTTCATTCGCTAATATTTGTTTTAAAATGAATAATTGTATGTATTTGATGTTGGAACAAAGACTGCAATGACAATTGATTTGAATATATTTTAAGTCTTAAGCTTTAGAAAGAAATTGAAGTTAAAATATGTAATGATAATAAATTATCTTTTCAGCTCGTCGGGGAGGGTGGAGTAAAACAGGACTGTACAGTAGATGACCTTATTAAAATGGTAGAAGATTTAACAAGGATACATTAGTTATTAATTTTGCGTTCATCCTCAGGTTGCTCCGTGTCTGCAAAAAATGTTTTTCTACATTAATGTTATTGTACATTTTCTACAAAAACTGTTTGTTGTAGACGTTTCGTTTCTATTTTTCTTTGCGAAATGATTTCATTAAATATGTGTTGTTTAAAACTAATAAAACAGCAATAAAGGTAGCTTATGTTAACCTATTTACAGAAGTAGTTTGTATTAGTTTGTCAGTAATCAAGTTTTCGAAACCTGGCACTATGTGTGAAGAAGTTGTATAAAAGTTAAAATAACTTGCGCATCAGACCACGGTTGTTACATGAGAAATTTTGAGAAACAACTAACAAACTTGTTCTAGCTTGTTTGCTTTATGTTTGTATAATTATTTTACTTAATTTAAAGCATATTCTGTGAAGAATTGTCGAATTCGTTTAAATACAAAAAAATAATTTCTATCGCTATAACAATTAAGTGTTATAAATGTTACTTTATTATTTATTATAATTGATTGCACATTGCAATTTATCCCCTAAAAAGATACAGTTGCCATAAGTAGTAGCCAATATAATATCCTAACTTATTAGTTTCCTTTCTTTTACTGTATTAAGAAGAAAAAAGGCGTAACTCTCCGTTGTGCTTATTTCATTCTTAACTTGTTTATACTATCAGTTTATCAATACACGTTTGGTTCTACGTCGAGCGATGGTTATATAGCCACTTTCACTATCTATGTTCTATAGTTTTTTCCTTTACAGTTACCTATATACTTATTAGCATAAATTGAAAATTACTTATGAATCTATAAATTTTAGCATCTCTGTTGCAACTTGTCATGCATGATTTCCATCATAGATATTACCCTTTGTATATCTGTTATCTATGACTTGGCCATTTTGTAGTAAAAGCTATGCTGCGTCGCCATTTTTAAAATTTTGCAGTTTTACTTGATTTTCGGTGCGTATTTTCATTGTATTTCATGTTTTAATTGTTTGATAACGTAGTTTATTCGTTTTTCTTCTCTATTTTTACAGAATAATGATCAATAAGAGTGGGAGAGTGTTAATTTTGATGCAGCTGAAAAAGTAATTTTTTTGCCATGGTGTTCTTTTGATTTTGGAGGATTTTCTAGTTAATTACGGTGAGCATACATGCCATAATTAGTATATTTATTTGATATTAACTGCAACATTGTGTTATGCACATGCTGGGGAGGCTAAATTAATTCTATCACTAGTCTTTCATGAGATTTCATTTCATAGGAACATTAAAAAAACTGGATGGCATTAATTTACAGTGCATTTACATTGTGTCTTCATTCAATCCAGAAAGTAGCAATTCTAAAAAGAAGCACGAAAGTACCTTTTTCCCATGGGACCAAATACAGTGTAGTTATAAGGAAGAATTTATGACATTGAACTGGTAAGTAACAGTATCAATTAAAAATACTAACTGAGGTCCCAGAAACATTAATTTCTTAGACATTTGTAACTTACTTTCGTCAGATAACTTAAACAATGTTTTAGAAGTGGTAGCAGCAGAATATGTAATTAACCTTTCTGTCAGTACAAAATTTAACATATAATTTCCCACCACATGACCACATTGAAATATTACTGGTTTACTTGCTTTAAAAGTTGTTAATCACTTTTTCTTACCCGTTTCTATAGATTGGTCAAGAAGTGACAAGGAATTAAGTTAATTCTGATTCTACTGAAACAACTGATGCTTTTGACGCTTTCTCCTTCTAACATAATGCAGTTAATTTTGAACCTGAGAAAGCAAGGCAACTGGAAATTAATTTGGAAACGACTGAATCAACAGATTGTCTGCAGTGGTATTTCTCCTGGATTTGGCTTGTTCATTCTACCTGTGGACCTTAGAAAGCTACTTTCTGCGGTTAATGGAGGTGAGAATGCATGCCATTTATCTTAGTTGTTCAATATTGATCTTATGGGTTATCTGTCTTACCAATTATCTATTGTTCACAGTTTCAATCAACTTTAACGTGTATCTGCCGTATTTCATTTCTTTAAATATCTATTGTTCACATCATAAATTGACATTGTGCATCTATGATTATTTGGATTTATTTATGACATGCATGATCTATGGTCATGATGTGAAATGACAGTTGTCGCCATTTTATTATAATTCAGCTATTTTACTTGCTTTTTTGTTGTTAATTTTTAGGAGTGTTTAGTTCCTTCCTTAACTAATAGTGTAATTAATATATTTTTTGCCCATTCTGCAGATTGCCCAACAAATGAGTTCAGTTTGGCTCTACTCGAACAGCCGTCTGCATGGGTGTGGTCTTTTCTGGACTTTGTTCCTGGTTTGATATTTTCATCTTCACTTCGCAAGACCATGCAGTTGATTTTCGACTGATTAGTGGGAGCAACTAAGGATTTATTTGATTTCAAATGGAACAACAAAATTTCTGCTATGGTGTTCCTCCTGGATTTGGTTTGCTCTTCACACCTGCAAACAGTTGCAGTCTGCATTTAATTAAGGTGAGAAACTTGATACAGTTAATTTTAATTGCTCATTATTAATCTATTACCATCGTATCTGTTTCAGATCGACGTTGGAGAAGACAAAGATGACCCCATAGTTGAAATAGTTTTTTTATCTTGCATGCTGTATCTGGTTAATTAAGTTCATTTTAATCAAATTAATTTTTTATTTTGCATGTTTTGTTGTAGTTAATTTGAATTAATTTTTATTTTGCATGCTTATCTTTGTTCATTTTATTTGAAGTAATTGTTGAATTTAGATGTTTTTATTTTTTTTTTGTATGTAGTAGTAGTGTAGTAGAAATAACACGTTTAGTAGTTGTAGTATAGTCTAACCTTGCTTACCTCTTCGCTTAGCTTACTGCATATTCTTCCTAATTTGCTTTGCATTTACCCTACGAGTTCTACATGATTCAACGTTTCGTTATCGTGTTTGTTTCTTCTCACCCTTGTGGAATTAGGGAGGGCCTCCCCGAACGACTTCCCTTGGGCTTAGCTATTTAGTTGATCTTAAAAGTGTCTTATACACTTTTCGCGAGTCTACTCTAGCGTTACTTCCTTTCAGACAGGGTACAGTGGGTTATCTGGAATAGGAGCAATAGGCGACTGCCCAGCTTGCCTTGGCGAAATCTGTCCGATCTTCTCTACCAAAGCTATTAGTATTTGTCGTTAGTCCTTGTAATTGCACTATTCGCTTTCAGGTAACCGAAGAAGACTGAAGACATCGTATTGTTTGCTTTTTATTGTATTTTCTTTGAAATTTCATATGTTTTCTTGTCTTTCTTTTACAGGTATTTTGTTTATTACTTTATGAGCTGTTATATTATGTAATTGTAACTTAGAATAATAGTTAAAATGTTTCTAAATTGATCTTTTGGCATAAATGTTAAAATTAAATTCAATATTTGTTTATTAAAATTCATTTGGGTGGATAGGGTGGCTATAAGGGGAGATGCGGAGGCCATAGAGGGTTAGGGGGACTTTTTTCTCCTTAATCTTGTGTTTAAATGGTAATATAAGAGTTCGTAAGTAATATAAGATTTTTTATTGCATATAAATGTGATTTGTTTTCTTTCTCTTACAGGTATTTTCTTTTTGCTCTGTAAACTGTTAATTATTTTCCTGTTTTTGTAATTGTGTTCACTTTAGAAACTGTTATTAATAAAATACGATATATGTATATTATGTATTATACTATTACATGAGATAAATAATTAACAG